TTTTTTTTTCTTTTGTTTTTACTCGCGATCTTTACAACACGCATTACATTACGTATTTCATGGCACCCTCGTTTTATGCGTATTTGGCGCCACCTATTGTTGTGGGTGTGTTATTGACATGTCAAAGTCTAGACCCTGAATATAAGACGACCGCGTTTTTTCAGATGTATTTCCAAGAAAAAAACATCGTCTTATATTCGTTTAAAGATTAAATCTCTGTTTTGTATTCTTGGATTTTAGACGTTTAAACTGAAGAATATTGCGGTTTTATAAGAGAAGTCACGGACAACTCCGACAGCATTTCGATGATGTCAAGACTATAACGTGTTTGTTATCGAGGCACACATGAGGTTTTCTCCAGCGGCAGAGTCGCAGAGGCTGGTGTCTGTCGTGTCGGATGCCTGTGTTCACAGAAAGCTGCTTCCCTGCGTGCGCCAGTACCGAATTCACGTCGTTTTTTCACTTTTCAGCTAGGAAAAAATAGATGCGGCATTAATTGCGTTAAATATTTTTAATGCATTAAACTGAAAATAATAATAATTAAAGCTGCAAGCAGCGTTGAAAAGGCCCTCGCACCCGGAGCCACCGCCACCCAGTGGCCTCAAGAAAACAGTGAACCGTTGGCAATATGAAATTAAAGTGGGAAATAGAGGAGGAATATTTCAAAGTCAGTTATATGTGCCAAACTTCCTGCTGCCAGCTGGTGGCGCTATGACTATAACTGAATATTGGTTTGGCATGTAGCTGTCTTCAGGCCAGGACTCTTATCAAACATGTGAAGTTTGGGGTAGATCAGACGTATACCTGTTATAACTTCCTGCTTCATGGCAAAACATAGAAATTGGTCAGGCCTTCACACCCTTCAACGAAAACTCAAGATCTTCACATTTCAGCATCGCAAAGGCCTTTAGATTACACGAACCAAATTTGAAGATGATCCGATTAAAACTGGAAGAGGAGTTCGTTAAAGTACGAGGCCTGAAAATGGCAAAAACTGCACAAAAATTGTAGAGGAAATTCAAAATGGCTGACTTCCTGTTCCTTTGATTAGGACTTCGCTCCAAGATACTTTTTTGTAGGTATTGGTACAAATTTCATGCACATTCGTGAAACATAGCGGGAGAAGCACTTCATTTAAATTTTATAGGTGGCGCTATCGAGCCATTTTGCCACGCCCAATTCTGAAACCCATATCAGATGCACATTTTCACCAGTTCTGATGCGCGTGCAAAGTTTTGCGAGTTTACGAGCATGTTTAGGCCCTCAAAAATGTGATTCACTTTGAGGAAGAAACAACAGCAATTCCACGAGGGCCCTAATAATCACACTATTAACGCCTTAGTTGTGAACGTCCTAAATAAAAGTAATTGCAAAAAATAACAAAACAAACCCATTAACACAAGAGTAATGATGTAGAAATACATATAATACACAGTCATGGAAACCCTGTAAATATAATAGTATTAAAAATTGCAATTTCAAGGCCAAAAGGTGCAGGAACACTGATCTTCGTGTCCTATGGTATAATACTGTATTACAAATCGCGTCTGGTCTTTGATTATGATTGGCTGAGCCACGTTTTGTAAAGCACAGTGTTCTGGGGATTATTGCTTAAAATGCTGAGCGAATACGACTAAGCTCTACATAATGTATTTACATTCAAAACGTGCTTAAAACAGTCAAGGAAAAGTGTGGATTACAGATCATATGCTATGATAGAGGCCAACTGACCCAACAAAGAAAATAAGAAAGAAACCCTAAAAGCTGGAAAGAAGCACTTCTGCTGACAAAAGATGATTTTAATGACAGATAAAAGATCACTTCTCATCATCAGAACATCTGGGTGGCTGGATAGATAACACTCATGCACTTCCCATGCCAATTTAGTAGAAATGGATAGAGCTAGTGGATTACAAACTATTAAAGCTACAGTAAACTTCAAAGCCATTGGTCCTACAGTAAAAGCACAAAGTATGTTGGTCTGCCAAGAGTTAGTCAGGGTTTATAGTTTAAACTGAGGACTCCATTAAGGGTCAAAGGATCATTTTCCTGTTAAAATGTGAATGGCTTATAAACACACAGCACGCTGTATTCTTTCTTAAGACTGAAGTCAGTCACATCTTCTGCCCAGAGAGTGCAGCTAAAGCGGCCAATCAGAGCGGGAGTGAAGGGTTTGGTCCTCGAATGTGTCTCTCTGCTTCACTACTGGCCGTTCTTCACATTAAACATCCTCTCCTGAAACAAACAGGAAAAAAAGATGATGCTGCACATGCTGAGGCCCACATCACCCTAAATAAAGTGCAAACAGAAGTGCAGCATACAAGACAACATATCAATTTATGGACTAACCCAATGCATTTAATAATATTACATAAAACTGTGCTATAATACTAGTCTCATAACTCAGCCTCATCAAGGGGCTTCAAATCACTCAACAGAGTTAAGAGACTGTCGACAGTCACAAAAGCGTTCGGATCACATTTCACAAACATGCATTATTTCTGCATTCTGCAAATGTGATCACAATCAAAAAAAAAATAAAAAAATCTCAAGACAAATTAAGAAAATGCGTTTTTGTACCTTGATCATGGCCTCGAGTTTGATGGCGTCTGCAGCAAATTTGCGGATCCCGTCGGAGAGTTTCTCCACAGCCATGCGGTCCTCATTGTGCAGCCAGCGGAAGCTCTTCTCATCCAGGTGCACCTTCTCCAGATCACACTCCTTTGCTGAAGGAGAGATCAGTTTGCTGAAATCATGTCAAACCGGACGGTTCAGCGTGAGAGATGCGTGTCAGCTGATGCTCACCTCCCTGCGGCGTGAGGGAACACGTCACTGCGCTGTGGTCCTGGCTGAGCTCTCCCAGCAGCCCCGGAGAGATGGTGAGCAGATCACAGCCCGCCAGAGCCTTCACTTCCCCCGTGTTCCTGAAGGAGGCGCCCATCACCACCGTCGTGTAGCTGAACTTCTTATAGTAGTTGTAGATCTTGGTGACACTCTGCACCCCTGAGAGACAGAAGCGTGTGCTGGAGTCAGATCAATGTTTCAGATGCTCCACACAAACACCATAGAGTTTGAATCACTTATAACTAGGGCTGGGAAAAATAAGTATAAACTAATATATAATTAGTAGTGCTGGGCAATGAATGACATATTTTAATTGCGATCGCATAATTTTTCTGCGATTAATCGCATTATGCGCAAAATTCAATAATGAATTCAAAAGTACTGTATTGCTCACTTTTATTTTAAAAGTACTGCTGTATGAACAGAAGTGCAATACTATTTGGTTTGCAAACACTTTAAACAATTAAGGTGCTTTTTTACAGCAGTATTCCCTTTACATTGTAACAGTTAAAATATTTATTGTAAATCTCAACTTAAACATTAATGTAATCAAATTAAAATCTCCTTTTCATATAACTCGTGTATTCTTGTGATAGTGTGTCTTGACACCATGTCTACACTGGACGCGAGTGGCGCGATGCGACAAAATACTATAGAACCCATTATAATCAGTGATGCAGTCTACACTGGATGCGGCGCAACACGACAAATCATACGTGCCGTCATTCGTTGTGATCCTATACACCGGATGCAACAGTTGTCATGCCGCGCCGCAACAGCTAAAGTCTGTCTACAATGACTGGACGCGTCACGCGACAAAGCGACCGTTGCAAATCATTTGAATTTTGTGTCAGTACGTCGTAGATAGAACGAGGCAGCAGTTTACTGTCGGGAATTTGTCGCGTCGCGCCGCATCCAGTGTATACGGCATCACTTATTATAATGGGTTCTATACTATGTTGTCGCATTGTCCCGCGCCACTCACGTCCGGTGTAGACACGGAGTTAGGGCCTCCCCAAATGCTCTCATTGGTTGAGACGTGTGATGACGCCCATCCCCCCCCTCCTGTGACCCATGGTTTGTCTGTATGTGTATTCAGAGCCAGTGAGCAACGGACTTTCAAAATAATAATAATAATAATAATAATAATAATAATAATAATAAAAATAAAAACTGCATTAATGCACGATAAAATAATTGTCAGCATTTATTAATTAATGTGTTAACGCGATAACTTGCCCAGCCCTAATAATTAGTAAATGATAAGTCAATAATATAATAAACAAAGTATATACTCCAGGTGGAGAAATTTTTTACCATCCATGGCTTTTATAAATCAAGGGATGTCCAAACCGGTTTCTGAAAACCACAGGGAATTCAGCTCCAACCCTAATCAAACCTGAACCAACTAAACGAGGACTTCAGACTCGCTAGAAACTTCCAGGCAGGTGTGATGGAGCTGGACTCTGCAGGACGCTGGGCCTCCAGGAGCAAGCGCCGATCACACGATTGCATTTAGAAACATATGAGACACAGTGGAATGGAATAAAACCCCCACTAATTCTCGTGACATGTTTTCTAAAAAAGTTGAACCTCTTTTAACTTTTCATGGCTTTCTATTCATGCCTCAGTCATAGTTGTGCGTCTCAAGAATGCGCCAAATGCGTTCTGTGTGAATGGCTTGGTTTTAACCCAAACAATATCTTCTCCGCATTGAGCTTCTATATATCTCTAATATTTTGAATGATAAATGCAGCAGTGGCACATCTTCTGGGTTCAACTGGATAAACAAAAACATTAAAATGCAACAACGACACTTAAATCATCACTGCATCTCGTGCGCCACTGAGAAGGTTCCCGGACGCACACCTAAAATTCAAATCCACTGTTTCTGCATTTGAATGCGAATTTTTATTTTAAATTTGACTAATATTCCTTTTTTTGATTCCCAGTCTCCTCGTCGCAGGCACTCGTTTCAGCATGTGTTTGTGTTCTGTCGGCTGTCTGCTTGTCACTCATAACACGCTCCTATAAATGAAAAAAGCGTGATACTATTCTGCGCTATATCGAACTTTTTTCCCATCATTATCGATGATGGTGTACCGCCCAGGCCTAAGCTCAACGTCAAACTCTTTGCTGTCTCTTTGTCCATTGTTGAACTTTATCCTGTATGGAGGTTAGATTGACTGTTTTGGACTGCTGCCTTGAACTGGAGCAGTACACAATGATACGTCCGGTGTGTGATATCTGCACGCTCACCTAGCCGTAACACAGCATCCCGCTTCACAATAAACCTAAAGAGCACTATGTGCGAGTAAGTTCTGTTATCGGAGAACATGCCTGGATCTTCATGGGGCTCGTAGTTTTTGCGGTCGGTGTTTTCTTTGTACCAGTCCAGGATACGCCCTACAAAGGGCGAGATGAGGGTGACGCGAGCCTCAGCACACGCGACGGCCTGAGCGAACGAGAACAGCAGAGTCATGTTGCAATGGATCCCGTCTTTCTCCTCCAACTCCCTGACAAAGTCAAACATACAGACGTCAGCAGAGCAGCTCTCACCGTTTATTAATAATACAGCTGTATATGAAGGAATCAGCTTTCACATTGTGTTTGTGGTCATCATGACAGCAAACAGAAGCAACAACTGAAGATGTGTGACACCAGAGTATCATCTTATAATCTTAATGAAGACTGATTGCAGTGAACACACTCACCGTCCGGCCTGAATACCCTCCCATGTGGAGGAGAGTTTGATGAGGATGCGCTCCTTACTGACTCCCGCCTCTTCATAGAGAGAGATGAGCCTCCGGGCACGAGACACCATCGCTTCTTTATCAAAAGACAGTCTGAAAATTACACATCACATCTGTCATTAGGACACATCTCTCACACACACACACACTCTCTGATAATTCAAAAGTATGTGTGAGTTTTTGTCTTTCTCTTGAGTATGTGTGTGTGAACGTGTAAATCTCTGGTTCACACTACAGCACAATAAGTGGTAATTATGGACATTAATGTTGGTGTCAAAGAAGAAAAGCAGCAGTAAGCGGCCTGTCACCAGACACAAGCGCTGCTCTCATCCTCGTTTCCTCGCGTCTTAGCTCCAGCCATTTAGGATGCAAGGAAATGAGGATGGAGGATTCAAAAGAAGTGCTATAATCGGGTCCCTGGTGCATCTACCAACCCAGGAAACGTGAAAACGATTAACCCAGTAACTTTGTTTTGGTAAGCCTTTTTCTGCAAGCATCTGAAAAAACGAGCACGTCAGATTTCGCTCCCTTTATGACATGGCAAAGGGATCTTATTATAATATCACCGCCCCTTTATCTGCACGTTTCCACTCACGGCGCCATCATTCGGTTTTCACAAGCGACAACTGTATACTAGTTCTAACGCCATGGCAAAAGTTCGAGCAAAGCATGCAAACTGTTCTATCGTTGGCTGCACAGACAAGCACAGAACACTATTTAGAGTCCCAGCTTCAGACGAGACAAGAGAGCAGTGGATTAATTTATTTACTGTATATTACGCTGCTGCCACACAGATCTAATATAAACATGAGATCTCTTTCCCAGGTGTTTACCTTCACAGACATAAACTGTTTTTGTAACTCATGTGTTTTTAAAATAAACTTGTGTATTTGACATTTTAAGCGCAATAAGCTACGAAAGAGAACTTTAGTACTCGCATGCCATGTGACAGACGCTTTCTGTGCGCGTGCTTCGGATGTGTGCGCTCAGAAAACCCTATATCAGAAGTTTAAACTAAATGGCTTTAAAACGCATGATTTCAGCGTGATAGACATGATAATCAAAACCAAACAGATGTTTTTTTTATCAGAGTATCTGACGTAAGAGCTGTAAAGGCCCAGCCCTACGGCAGCTCATTTGCATTTAAAGATACATGCACGAAAACAGCATGTTTCTGCTTCCTCTCAAAATAGGCATTTTCAAAATTATATAATAAATTATCTGTGGGGTATTTTGAGGTTAAACGTCACAGACACATTCTGGGGCCAGCTGAGACTTATATTACACTGTAGAAAGGGGCATAATAGGTCACCTTTAAAGCGTCATCATCTGCGCTCAAGGGATCTGCTCTCAAGTTTGGTTATTTAATGTCATAATTAATATTAATAACACTAGCTGCCCTGTTGAAATATGAATTTTTTGATTAGAAACACTTCTACATAGCATACACTTGTGTATCGGCGCTCCGGTCCTCACTCATCGTATTGATACAGACTACTGACATGTAGTAACGTCGCATCACTAGCGTAGATCACGTGACGTCGCATCACTAGCGTAGATCACGTGACGTCGCATCACTAACGTAGATCACGTGACGTCGCATCACGTAACTTCGCATCACTAGCGTAGATCACGTAACGTCGCATCACTAGCTGTAGATCACGTAACGTCGCATCACTAGCGTAGATCACGTAACGTCGCATCACTAGCTGTAGATCACGTAACGTCGCATCACTAGCGTAGATCACGTAACGTCGCATCACTAGCTGTAGATCACGTAACGTCGCATCACTAGCGTAGATCACGTAACGTCGCATCACTAGCTGTAGATCACGTAACGTCGCATCACTAGCTGTAGATCACGTAACGTCGCATCACTAGCTGTAGATCACGTAACGTCGCATCACTAGCTGTAGATCACGTAACGTCGCATCACTAGCGTAGATCACGTAACGTCGCATCACTAGCGTAGATCACGTGACGTCGCATCACTAACGTAGATCACGTGACGTCGCATCACGTAACTTCGCATCACTAGCGTAGATCACGTAACTTCGCATCACTAGCGTAGATCACGTAACGTCGCATCACGTAACGTCGCATCACGTAACGTCGCATCACTAGCTGTAGATCACGTAACGTCGCATCACTAGCGTAGATCACGTGACGTCGCATCACTAGCGTAGATCACGTGACGTCGCATCACTAGCGTAGATCACGTGACGTCGCATCACTAGCGTAGATCACGTGACGTCGCATCACTAGCGTAGATCACGTGACGTCGCATCACGTAACTTCGCATCACTAGCGTAGATCACGTAACTTCGCATCACTAGCGTAGATCACGTAACGTCGCATCACGTAACGTCGCATCACTAGCTGTAGATCACGTAACGTCGCATCACTAGCTGTAGATCACGTAACGTCGCATCACTAGCTGTAGATCACGTAACGTCGCATCACTAGCTGTAGATCACGTAACGTCGCATCACTAGCTGTAGATCACGTAACGTCGCATCACTAGCTGTAGATCACGTAACGTCGCATCACTAGCTGTAGATCACGTAACGTCGCATCACTAGCTGTAGATCACGTAACGTCGCATCACTAGCTGTAGATCACGTAACGTCGCATCACTAGCTGTAGATCACGTAACGTCGCATCACTAGCTGTAGATCACGTAACGTCGCATCACTAGCTGTAGATCACGTAACGTCGCATCACTAGCTGTAGATACCTCGCATCGACTTCAGTGGAGACCCGGCCAGGAACCTTCTTTAAGATTTCCAAACCAAAGTTCACAAACAGCTTGTCCATGGCATTGGTCACCTGCTCCTTCTCACTCCTGCAATTGCAAAAAGATGCACATTAGACCTGTAAGAAACTATCTAACAGAGCACATCTGTGTACTCCATACTCTCACCCGCCGTTAGCAATGCCGTATTTGATGGCCTGCTCCACGAGAGGCTGGTAGGTAGACATTTTAGCTGCAGCCAGAATCAGGGAAGGATTGGTGGTGGCATCCTGAGGTTTGTACTCTTCAATAGCTGCGGAGAAGAGCAAACAAGGCAAATTATAGCAAGTGCAATCTCAACAGTATTCTTGATGTCTTCTAAAAAACTGATGATATTTTGACCAGAGAAGACGGTAACCCTGTTTGGAGTGTTTGTTAGTCTGCCAATGGCTGTGGATAATGGAAGAACAGTATTGTGAAAAGATGATAAACAACATCTCATGATGGAAATGTTTTATGTAATGTCCTCAGAAGAGGTCTAAAGAGCATTTCAAAATGGGATGTTCAGAAAAGTGTAGAGTAACTAGAGGTCGACCGATTTTAGATTTTACTGATACCGATAGCTAGGTTGGACCACACTGGTGATACAATTAATCAAGGGATAGTTTTTTTAAATGGATTCTGAACGAAAACTAAAATAGTGCTTTACTACTTAAAAAAAAAAATGGACTGAACCAGACTTTGTACATGAATAAAAAAAATTTAATTTTAAATATTATATATTGATCATTAAAGTTAGTTCATAGTTCATTAACCGTTTCGAAGAAAATGTAAAGATATGCTTATAACTATGTATGCGTTATGTGCTGCTACTGCTAATGTGTATAGGTACAGTTCTGTGATGCGATTGGTGTCATTTTATTTTTGTTCTTATTTTAATTATTTGTATGATTTTTGCTATTTTGTGCAGATTTGTGGACCCCAGGAAGATTAGCAACCTCTTTGTGGAAGCTAATGGGGATCCAAATAAACAAACAAACTAATGTTAACACAAGCAACTTAATGTAAAAATATATTAGTAAATGTTGAAATTAACACACTCTAACTAGATGACCATCTTTAAATATCTACACAAAGGCCATAGCATCGAAATTACATAAGGATATTGTATGTATTCTCTCACACTTTAATTGCTTCTATTCTAGAACACGTGATGATTATCTAATCAAAATAACAAAATATGGCAGTCGCACAAAACGCAGCGTCTAGAACTCGCAGCTATCAGGAGTTAGACATATCGGACGGTTTATTTAATCACCAAACAGGGAAAAGTTCACTTCAAGTATGATCAAAAGCGGCATAGATGAGTTTGAAGTTTGGTGTTTAAAAAAACAGAGCAAAACAAAAAGAAAACGCGCAATCTATATTATAGCTCTCTATATAAAGCATTCAGACTTTATTAGAGCCACAGAAACACAAACGTTTAGCTGAAAAATGCACAGTACATAACTTTACAGCCTAGGGTGAAGTCATTATGTACAGTAACAATGATTTGGGACAAATATAATGTAATTTAATGTAAAACTGTGTGAATGGCGGCAGGATTTCTGCTTTAAATCTGCAACTTTGCTGCTAACAAATGCATCAATGTGACCAGCTGGATATAAACTAATGCAAATAGATGTTAACAATCACGACATTAAGCATTTGCGTCAGACTCACGTGTGTTTTGGTCACATTGTTTTAACCATTTGAGGTCCTGCTAATGTTCCCGTCCTCTCAGCCTTGATAGCAAACATACTGCTGTTCTTTCTCCATTAATGCAGCATCTAGTCAACAAATTAATTACTTGGTAATGATATGAAAACTACAGTATACACACCGTTTCCCTGTCTGTTTTAAATGCACATCTGAAGTGTCCCGCTCTGTGCAGCATGCAGTGTCACGTGTCAAAACAAACAGCAGTGGTGTCAGTGATTTCAGCTCTCGCTCTCATACTGTAGAACCATAGGTATAAAATACCTAGACGCCTCATTGGCCGTTGGATCGTACGTCAACGGCACTGCCATATTGGTCCGGGCAACTTGCCGTAAATCTCATAGGTGGACTGAAGAAAAGATCCCTGATTCCCTGACTATTTTGAGGTTTTACAAATAGTCGTAAAATCCAAATTATTTCTCGGGAAATTACCTTTTGCATGCAAGTCTGAATAGTTAGGGGCCAAGCACCGAAGGTGCAGTGGCACCTATTGTATCCGTTAGCGTCATTTTTCTTCTTCCGCCGAAAGTCTATGGCAGCTCATAGAACTGCTTGCGGGAAAGTTGTGAAATTTGGCACACTGATAGAGGACAGTCTCAACATTAACCACAGCAAGTTTGGAGTCTCTAACTCCAACTCTCTAGCGCCACCACTTGTCCAAAGTTGCAATTTCTTTATGCTAATAACTTTTGAACCATAAGGCACAAAATGAAAATATTTTTTTCCTCTGAATTCTTGGCTCATGCCGAGTCGAAACACCAAAATTAAAAAATGGCAAGGTTTAGTTTTTTCGCTATTTTTAATTGTTCGTAAAACCTACTTTTTCGAACTCGTCCTAGACGGTTTGTCTGATTATCACCAAAATTGGCTCAGATCATCTTCAGGCCATGCTGGCATAAAGATATGGAATTCAAGTTGATTCGTCCCACCCTTCTCGAATAACGCACGAAGGAATTCTACGAAAAACACGTAAAAATGGATGTGAGGCTATATCTCCACAACTGTTTGGCGTATTGAGACCAAACTTGCTGTGTGTTATAATAAACGGGACCTGAGACTACCTGCAGTGTTTCGGCGCAGTGCCCCCTAGTGGTCAGGAGATATGAAAAATGCATATTTTTGCTTATAACTTCTGAATGGTTTGGCCAAAAATCACAAAACAGGTCTCTTTAGATTCGGTGCATCATTCCGAGTCGAACCATACCAAATGTTTCCATGTCAGCCATTTTGGGCATCAGCCATTTTGAATTGTCAAAAAACGCAATATTTTAAGAACGCTTAGACTTTATTACGAAAATCGGTATGCATCTTCGGCACCATGCCCTGATGGCACTCAAAAAAGTTTGGGCAAAAGTTATAAAGCAATTTATAAAAATGCTAATAACTTTTGCATACATTATAATATTGTAATGAGACTGATGTTCATAGATTCCTTGCATCTCCTGAGAACATCGATACCAATTTTGCCATAATTGGCTAAACTTCCTGTCCGCCATTTTGATTCATGTTGAAAACCTACTTTCGAATTTCTCCTAGACCGTTAGTCCAATTTTCACCAAATTTGACTCCGATCGTCTTCAGACCAAGCTGGCAAAAAGTTATGGATTTCATGTCGATATACGAAATGTTTTTCGTTTCACATCAACGAATTTGCTGGTTAAGATGCCAAAATGCATCTGAGGCTGTATCTCTGCAAAGCTTTGACGTATTTGCACCAAACTTTGTATGTGCCATTGTCACCTCACACTGACCACGCCACATCAATTTGGTAACAGCGCCACCTATTGGTCAAGAGTAATAAACCATTGATTTATTATTAATTATGAAATTTCCAAAAATGCTAATAACTTTTGATTGCATTAGCCTATTGCAATGAAACTGGTCTCAAAATATTCCTTGGTTTATGCCAACAACAGACATACCAATTTTCCCTTAGCAAATCCGAACTGCCTGTCGGCCATTTTGATTTATGCTGAAAACCTACTTTTTCGAACTCCTCCTCAAGCCTTGGTCCGATTTTCACAAAAATCGACTCAAATCATCTTCAGACTGTGCTGACAAAATGTTATGGATTTCGTGTCGATAGACGAAACCGTTTTCGTACAGCGCTGCTACAAATTTTAGGCACTGTGACAAAATGACTCTAAGGCTATATCTCTTCAAAGCTGACACATGATGACAACAAACTTTGTGTGTGCCATTGTCACCTCACACAAACACACATGCTCCATGCCATGCTTAGCTTCTCATTTTGCCTCTGGAGTGCTTGGCCCCACAATTGCTGCTTGCAGCTATATTTGTTTTTGGTTTTATTTTGTCATTATAACATTATGTTGACATTAGTTAGTCACCAAAGTCAGACTATTAATGGCTAACGATAAAAGCTAAATAATATAAAGTTTACATGCTTCTTATGAAGTCTGCGCTTATTGTATAGTTTATGAGCTAATCTAAATTGCAAGCGAGTCTTCCGTGCAGTGCAGTGAGCCAGAGGACTGACAGGACAGATCAAATCACAGACTCATCTCCGAAGAGCAGCTGATTAGATTTATTAGATTAGATGCTTGTCATATAACCGTGGCTCATTTATGTTTTGCCCATTTTAGCCAGTAGAACCAGGACAACACAAACCTCAAAGGCGGCTGAAGAAAGCCCGTCATAGACTGTTCTCTGCATTTCTAAGAGACTGCACCTCTTCTGCATATTATATTATTATATGACTTATACTAGGCCTATTATATGATTGTACTAGTCACCATTTTATTTAGTGTTTTTATTTTATTGACTATTATATTACAATTTGTGTGTATAATATATATATATATATATACACATACACACACACACACACATATATATACACACACACACATACACATACACACATAAATTGTAAAATAATAGTCAATAAAATAAAAACACTAAATAAAATAGTGAGTAGTGAATAGCACAATCATATAATAGGCCTACAATAAGTCATAATAATATAATACCGCTGTAACTTAATTGTTTACTGGATCCATTAAGGATGATCCTATAAATAGGGGTTCAAGATGTGATATTAAACGTTGCCCACTAGAGGGAGCCACAGGATAAGGAATATTTCAAGCACAATCATTTTCTATCGGTTTTCATCTATTTGAATTGAAATAAATGCATTTGGTTCATTTATATAGCCTAACTATGGTGTACTGACAGTAAATCTGTGAAATGCTTCTAGATCAGTAAATGTTTTTTAGACCTCACTAAAACACATTTCCAAGTTGCCAGACACAATTATTTATATTTTTGTAAGTTAATTAAATATTTTTTTAATTAATATTTTATGTAATTTTTACTATAATAAAACATTTCTATAAAAGGCATTTATTGTTGTGGTATGAATAATAAAACAAATATTATAAAACATAAGCATAAGGTTAGGAGGAGATACAGAAATAAATTGTAAAAATGAAAAGGTAACGATAAATGCTTCAGCAAATTATCTCACTATTTGGAATTGTTCTGTAAGTCCTACGTTGAGCCGGTGCTGTCCTTTTCAATCAGCTGCTGGTTTGGAAATCTCAGTGTGAAACAATGCATTAAATAGAATAGTTACTCTTAGTGGGAAGATCATAGGTAAAGAACAAAGTTTGTAATTTCTCATGTTTTGAGTCGGGCTAGATCTGTGCTCTTGGACAGTGATCATTGTTTGTATCCAGAGTACTCTATGCTCTCTTCAGGTTCCCGTTATAGACTACCAAAGATGAAAAGTAACCTATATAAATATTCGTTTGTCCACTGTGCAATCGGCTGTTAAATGGTTCTAAAGGATTTTTTTTAGGGAAATTTCTCTTTTTATTTTATTTATCTATTTTTATGTATTTATGTTTTTATAGGAATGTATTGTATGAGTCTGTTGTAGTTCTGTTTCGCTGCACCTAAATTGCCCGCAAGGGATCTCAATAAAGCTTGACCTTGATCTTCACATTCATCTGAAATTGTCCGGTGACATCCTATGACGGGATTCCAAAAAAGCTCAAATGAAGGTGTTGAAGAAAAAGCCATTTCCACAATTTCATGTACATTACATTATATTACATTAAGGACGTCTCCACAATTATTAACCAAGAAAAATAAAACATATCTATGCTTGACAAGCGTGATTCTTCACAATTCCTTATGACAATGAATACTTTACAAGTTTTAACTAGCGAGATTCTGCGTAACTAGAAACTTCTTCGTACTCCACGCAGATCATATACCGTTGAAATGGTTGAGAAATGTAAACTTTACTCCACTTTTTGTCGAGAAAAGCCGCAGCTCCCCATTTACTTGTATTTGTTTACAGAGCTCTCTTGCCCGGACCAATATGGCAGACTCGTTGACGCATCGCAGCAACGGTCCAAAGCGGCCAATGAGGCATCTATGTATTTTATACGTCTGTGTATAACGACAGCGAGGCTTCAGCCGCGGACGCAACCCAGAGAAACTATCGGCATGGATTTTTGCAGATAGTTCCAGCAATCGACTATCGGAGCCGATCGGTCGACCGCTAGAGTAAGGACGCTCAGGCCAAAGACCATGTATATCTATGATCAAAGAATTAAGCTTAGATCATTACAAAGCAATCACCAGATCAGTATAACCAAACACAACGAAGAAGACTTGAGTGACATCGACTTGCACTCAACTACAAGGTATAAATGCACATGTATCTTTCTGTTCAGGAGCCGCTCTTGGTTGTTGTGAGCGGTGGGCCGTGAATACACTTTTATTCCTGCAAACTGGGAGTCGTGTCTGGTGTATGCTGCGCAGCTGAGGAATAGAAGTACTAAAGAGTCTACGCTCAGAGGGCCACAGCAGAGACAGTGATAGTGTTGGAAGACTATAGACTATATACTGTGAGCTAGTATTAATGATCCTGTGTCGGGCCAGCGAGGTGAGAGTCTATGGAGGCTAAAGACCCGGTGCTCACGTGTGGTTTGAGGTAGTGATAGTAGCTTCGATGGGACGCCGTCACCATACTTCAGGAAAGGAAGTATTGATTGTACTGAACTGGTACTGTAGTATTGTATTATGTTACTGACAACTGAACGTTGTCTGAATTGTCCGTGTTAGAGAAGTCAGATTAGTTTTGTATTAAAGTAAGATTAGTCCATCTCTACAACTTATTCCATTTCATCTATATAGCACACCTGTACATACAGCTTGTCTATTTTTGTTTATTTAAATATACATATGTATATTTTATTTACATATCTTTATTTTTATTATCTGTGTGTTGTTGTTGTCTCTGTGTACTGAAGCTTGTCACCAAAACAAATTCCTTGTATGAGCAAATATACTTGGCAATAACCAATATGTATCGGTTGATTACTGGCTTCACATCAGAAGGCGGGATCTGGCATTCATTTACATAGTTGCACCTAATTAACATAGAAATAATTGTAAATATTCAGACAGGACCGAGTCTGCACTTAACTTTCATCATAACTTTTCATTTCTTAGAGACTGGCGTTCATTTGTTTCTCAACACGTCTGCAGACAGAAAAGCCCACAGATCATCAGAATATAACAGACTTTACACTGAAGCCTCCTTTCTACCTGCATTAACAAAAATACAAGGGTATAAGTGTTTTTTCCCCTTTCCGTTCACTATTAATCCCTGTATTTACATCATTCCCCCTGATAAAAAAAAAAAAAAATCCCTGGAGCATCAACCGCAGATCCCCCCGAAAAAAAAAAAAAAAAAAAAAAAAAAGGCAGACCAGATACATTTTTAGATCCCAAAACAACAGAAAGCATGAGTAATTTTTAGTTTTTGAACAAGAGAGATGTGTTCATGAATCAGACATCACAGGTTTTGTGTCTGCCACATGGATTCTGATTGGTGGTCAATGTTTTTATCATTCATCAGCTGAAGAAAATAAATCTTCCATACTCGCACTAGCATACACTAGCTTTCAGCTGAACCCTAGCTGTATTTATTCAGGGTTCAGGAATTAGTCAAAGGATCGACTGCCTCATCATGACCACGCAGAAACCACAGGAGTTTCATCAAACGCTGCTTCCTTGTGTAAAAACAAACACTGAAATCACTGATCGGCAGTGGCGAGTTTCACAAGACAGTCTTAGGCAATGAAATCTGATGCAATTTACAGCCGTCCGATTCATGGAAGAAGAAATGCTGCATTTTGAAAGCATAAGGAACCGTCTGTATGGTATTTTGATGTCATACACCGATCGGTCTGCACACGCAAACAAAGCCAAAACCTAGATATTTTGGGCAATATAAAAATCCTGGCCAGGACGCCTCCTGGGAAAATGGCACGTATGGTCACCCTACTGTTGACGATTGTGAAAAACTGATTTAAATGCAATCTAAAAATCGCACACTTTTGTACAAAGTTCATGTGTAAGTCAAGATAAGGCTTTGCATCAATATTAGTGACTGATTTGGTCATTTTATGTAATAAAAAGTTAATACGTTTATTATAAGATGAACTATTCTCGTGTTTTAACCTCTTTCAATGAGGTCTCATTCCATCATTCATGCGTTTTCGCATTTACAGAGGAAACAATCCGTGTTGCTTTCAGAACTTACAAAGTCAGCCAAATTCATAAATATTAAGAAACGCACATAAGATGATTAATATTAATAAGCAAGGCATTAAGTAATTAGTCGTGTGACAATCGCCCACTTGCTAATATCTGCCTTTCGGCCAATCAGAGAGCCTGTCTCTGTAGAACGCTTAATATTCATGAGATGAGCCGTCTTCGCTTCCGGGTCTCGGCATGATTCTACACGGTACTGCATTTTTTTCCTCACCCAGACTTAGTTTACATTAAACCAATTACCAAGATCCCGTGTTTACTCCGATCTGGTTAACTCAACACGACACAGCACGTTTCTAAGCACTCATTCTTCTCATGCGTTCCGCTAAACGGGTTTTCGGTTCATACCGTAAGTGCGAAAGCACTAGTTCCTCAGTGCGGGTCAACTTCAGCAATCATTAACCAAACAACGTGCAAGCTTTTTTTCTTAGGGGAAAGGGAAGAAAAGCTCAGAGTTTTCTGTACACAGGCAGCATAAGTGAATCGTGGCTTAATGAAGTGCCGCATGAGCGCTTATAAGCTCTCTGTGCTCCAAACTGACTCAACATTAACTAACGGAAACATCTATAAGAAATTTACCGTTAAAGTCGCCCGTGTCTGCAACGACCACCGTGTATTTCTTGATCTGCTCCAGCGCAGACTCCATCTTTCGCCGTTTGTCCGGTGACACAGACATGATCCCGAAAACCCGAGCTTTTATAGCCGCACACAGAGAGACACGACCGTCAGCGGAGACAGAGCGGCGGATACGTGCCTGCGTGGGGGCGGGGCCACGGCTCATGACGCCATCGCGTTCTTCTTCTTCTGTGGATTTATTGGCGGGACGCATACCAGCTTTTTAGGTGCATACCGCCACCTCCTGTGCTGGAGTATGAAGTGATTTCAGTCTAGGTATATATTTTGATATCTATATTCTATTCTTAAGTCCACTATTCTTAATTAATGTTAAAATTGTCTTTATTATTTTACCAGATCCTTGTTTTGTGTTTAATATGTTGCAGATTGGAAATTCATTGCATCCTAAGTTCTGTGATTCTCTTTATAGTTCATTATTCCTGTTCATATCTAGACAGAGTAACAACACATGATCAACTGTTCCCTTTACTTGGTTTCACAACATCCACTACTGTGTTTTCCTATCATATGAAGTGTAGAATTAAGTTTCGTGTGACCCATCCTTAGTCTTGTTAAAATAACCTGATGTTCTTTACTTAAGTTTAATATCATTTTGCTTTGACTTACCCTGTTTTGTATATTATAAAAATGTCCTTCTGTTTTACAGTCATTCCAGTTCCCTTGCCATTTCCAATTGCAAGCTTCTTTAATTATACTTTCCCCTGCATGCTGCTTAGTGAAACTGAAATAGTAGAGTATTCAGATTAAATGACTCTTTAGCCATTTTATCAGATTTTTCATTTCCTGGTAGATCAACATGCGCTGGAACCTTAACTATTATTCCAGCATGTCTTAATCTATACAATATATTCATTATTGCTTAGTGAAACTGAAATAGTAGGAGTATGCAGATTAAGTGACTCTTTAGCCATTTTATCAGCTTTTTCATTTCCTGGTATATCAACATGCGCTGGAACCCAAACAAAATTAACTATTATTCCAGCATTTCTTAATCTATACAATATATTCATTATTTCTATAAAGATATCATATCTAACAGTTTGAAAAGTGTGAAGACTGGTAAGTGACGCCATCGCCTAACACCAGAGATGAGGGCTTAAGCCACATGCTTCATATCCACCACTTATACTACGCCTTAACGTACTCTTTTGCTGAAGAAAAAGTACACACTTTTGAGTGTGTGGTAGAAGAGTAGGCAAGCTTTGGGACATACGATCACGTCACGGTTAACGAACCGCTCTGCTGCATAAATACACTGTAAACTGGCCTGTCAATCATCTCCTGCCGTACTGGAGAGAAAAGAAGAAGCTCGCTCATCTGCCAGCCGTGGATTTTGTATAATGATGCATTTAAAAGTTAATGGCCAAACGGATGTTTATAAAAGTTCACATTGCTGTTGCAGATGAAATATAACACATATATGATTAAATAAATATTTTATGATATGATTAAATAAATATTTTTACCAGGTTAAATGTTGATTATTAAAGGGATAGTTCACCCAAAAATGAAAATTAGCCCATGATTTACTTACCCTCAGGGCATCCCAGGTGTATCTGACATTCCTCTTTCAGATCAATCCAATCGGAGTTATATTAAAAATTGTAAATATTAAAAATATTCCAAGCTGTATAATGGCAGTGAATGGTGCCCCTGTTTTTGAAGCTGAAAAAACTGCATCCATCATAAAACTACTCCACACGGCTCCGGGGTGTTAATAACGGCCTTCTGAAGCGAAACGATGCGTTAGTGTAAGAAAAATATAGATTTTTCACATTTTTTAAACTAATCTCCAGCTTCCGGTCGCTCAAGCAGGCGCTCACGAAGAGACGTTCGAGCGTATGACGTAGGGACGAAAGGCACAGCTTAAATGCTCTCAAATAAGTTCCTTTCACATCTCTATAATCATCAATAAATCCTGTCCGCACATTTTTGCATATCAGAAAGAGAATCAGAAAGAGCTCTGCTTACACACACATGGGATTTGTCTTGTGACAGAAGCTTCCAGGCTGTGACAAGACACAGACAACTAAATAAGTGAGTAAAAATAAATATGTAAAAAAACAATAGACAAAAGACAAAGAGACAGTAAACAGTATATTGTATGTACAGTGCTTTAGACAAATTATGCAAGGGAATGTGGACAGATGAAAGATATATTAAATCAATAACATAAATATAAGTATAGATAGTTGGGTATTGCACATGTTTTGTTGCACAGTGGGGAGAATATTTAACTGTTCATGAGGTCGATGGCCTGAGGAAGAAGCTTCTGCTGTGTCAGACGACAACAGTTCACAGATAAAGTGTGCTGATGTGAGGGGTCCAGAGTGATTTAGCCAGCTTGTTTACTCGCTCTGGACGAGTGCAGTTCTAGGAGAGAAGGGAGGGTTGTGCCAGTGATTCGCTCAGCAGTCCGGACTACCCTCTGTAGTCTTCTGAGGTCAGATGTAGTAGCTGAGCTGAACCAGACAGTTATAGAAGTGCAGAGGATGGATTCAGTGACTGCAGAGTAGAACTTCAGCTGGCGAAGGAAGTATAGCCTCTGCTGGGCCTTTACCAGTGATTCGCGCAGCAGTCCGGACTACCCTCTGTAGTCTTCTGAGGTCAGATGTAGTAGCTGAGCTGAACCAGACAGTTATAGAAGTGCAGAGGATGGATTCAGTGACTGCAGAGTAGACCTGCATCAGCAGCTCCTGTGCTGAACTTCTTCAGCTGGCGAAGGAAGTATAGCCTCTGCTGGGCCTTTATCGAAGAAGACTTGCGGCCTGCTGCTGCCGCCAGAGGGAGATATCCAGAGCAGTTCTAGGAGAGAAGGGAGGGTTGTGCCAGTGATTCGCTCAGCAGTCCGGACTACCCTCTGTAGTCTTCTGAGGTCAGATGTAGTAGCTGAGCTGAACCAGACAGTTATAGAAGTGCAGAGGATGGATTCAGTGACTGCAGAGTAGAACTTCAGCTGGCGAAGGAAGTATAGCCTCTGCTGGGCCTTTATCGAAGAAGACTTGCGGCCTGCTGCTGCCGCCAGAGGGAGATATCCAGACTCTTCACGGAAAACACACATAAAACCCGCACAGAGGAGCAAAATGACTTTTACTAAACAGTTCATTTATTGAAGAGATCGACACCCAATTCGCGACGGGAGTAATTAAGGTAAACATATATCCGGGCAACTCTAACTGTAATCTATTATAATGTAAGTTTATAACAATGGTATTTTGTTCATAAACAGTGAAAAGTTTAGGAGAATATTGTCTCGACACTATAATATTGATCAACGGGGCTTGGAAACGCGCGCATCGCGTGATTTTAGCGTCGTTACGTCGTCATCGCCATAGTAACGGCGGACCGTTAGGAAATCAACGCTTCGCTGGATCCGGTGAACGAATGATATGCAGCATTTCATCATAACTATAATATATTATAACATCAGAATGATTCAAACTAGGGATTGTCAGTCAGAGATTTCATAGTCAGCGGAATTCTGTCCAGCAACAACTAAATAAAACAGCTAAATTCTATTCTGAAATGTTGGTGATTGATAGAAGAAGAAAAAATATTCTTTATGAAAGTGCAGTGACAGTATACATTTGTACTGTGAAATTGTGAGCATATGTGCATTTGAGCAGCAGGTGACACTAGTGTGCAGTTTGGAGTCTTTCCATGTAACGTTAGTGAATCATGTTTCAAAGTGATTATTTCATTTGTTTGAAAGATTCAGAAAGTCTCATCACTGATGCAAACTTGATACATCTTCTTATGAGGGACACATGGCAAAACAATACATGTTCAGTGTTTGTCAGTTATCATTTTGCTTTGACTTACCCTGTTTTGTATATTATAAAAATGTCTTCCTGTTTTACAGTCATTCCAATTCCCTTGCCATTTCCAATTGCAAGCTTCTTTAATTATACTTTTCCCCTCCATCCTGCTTAGTGAAACTGAAATAGTAGGAGTATGCAGATTAAGTGACTCTTTAGCCATTTTATCAGCTTTTTCATTTCCTGGTATATCAACATGCGCTGGAACCCAAACAAAATTAACTATTATTCCAGCATTTCTTAATCTATACAATATATTCATTATTTCTATAAAGATATCATATCTAACAGTTTGAAAAGTGTGAAGACTGGTAAGTGACGCCATCGCCTAACACCAGAGATGAGGGCTTAAGCCACACGCTTCATATCCACCACTTATACTACGCCTTAACGTACTCTTTTGCTGAAGAAAAAGTACACACTTTTGAGTGTGTGGTAGAAGAGTAGGCAAGCTTTGGGACATACGATCACGTCACGGTTAACGAACCGCTCTGCTGCATAAATACACTGTAAACTGGCCTGTCAATCATCTCCTGCCGTACTGGAGAGAAAAGAAGAAGCTCGCTCATCTGCCAGCCGTGGATTTTGTATAATGATGCATTTAAAAGTTAATGGCCAAACGGATGTTTATAAAAGTTCACATTGCTGTTGCAGATGAAATATAACACATATATGATTAAATAAATATTTTATGATATGATTAAATAAATATTTTTACCAGGTTAAATGTTGATTATTAAAGGGATAGTTCACCCAAAAATGAAAATTAGCCCATGATTTACTTACCCTCAGGGCATCCCAGGTGTATCTGACATTCCTCTTTCAGATCAATCCAATCGGAGTTATATTAAAAATTGTAAATATTAAAAATATTCCAAGCTGTATAATGGCAGTGAATGGTGCCCCTGTTTTTGAAGCTGAAAAAACTGCATCCATCATAAAACTACTCCACACGGCTCCGGGGTGTTAATAACGGCCTTCTGAAGCGAAACGATGCGTTAGTGTAAGAAAAATATAGATTTTTCACATTTTTTAAACTAATCTCCAGCTTCCGGTCGCTCAAGCAGGCGCTCACGAAGAGACGTTCGAGCGTATGACGTAGGGACGAAAGGCACAGCTTAAATGCTCTCAAATAAGTTCCTTTCACATCTCTATAATCATCAATAAATCCTGTCCGCACATTTTTGCATATCAGAAAGAGAATCAGAAAGAGCTCTGCTTACACACACATGGGATTTGTCTTGTGACAGAAGCTTCCAGGCTGTGACAAGACACAGACAACTAAATAAGTGAGTAAAAATAAATATGTAAAAAAACAATAGACAAAAGACAAAGAGACAGTAAACAGTATATTGTATGTACAGTGCTTTAGACAAATTATGCAAGGGAA